TTTTTTGAGATTGAGTCTCGCTCTGTTGTCTAGGCTGGAGTGCAGTGGCACAATCTCAGCTCACTGCAACCTCTGCCTCCTGGGTTCAAGCAATTCTCCTCCTGCATTGGCCTCCCGAATAGCTGGGATTACAGGATGCACCATCACACCCGGCTAATTTTCATATTTTTAGTAGAGATGGGGTTTTACCATGTTGGCCAGGCTGGTCTCAAACTCCTGGCCTCAGGTGATCCATACGCCTCAGACTCCCAAAGTGCTGGGATTATAGGTGGGAGCCACCGTGCCCGGCCACAAGGATGTGAGCATCTTTGGGAGGAAGATAATACTGAGACAACCATAGCCAGTAGCCAGGTGGAGATTTACAATAGGTAGTTGGACACTGTGACCTGGTCTTTGAGATCTGTGTCTGGTTTGGTGACTAGGTTGTAAGGTAAACTTTTGCAAGTCACCTTTTATCTGTGAGTCCATAGGCTGTGGATTTAATTTGTGCATTAAATCCTTCCTAGGCCAGGCATGGTGGCTCATCATGCCTGTAATCCCAGCACTTTGGGAGGCTGAGGCGGGTGGATCACGAGGTGAGGAGTTTGAGACCAGCCTGACCAACATGGTGAAATCCCATCTCTACTAAAAACACAAAAATTAGCTGGGCGTGGTGGCGCACACCTGTAATCCCAGCTACTCAGGAGGCTGAGGCAGGAGAATCGCTTGAACCCGGGAGGGAGAGGTTGCAGTGAGCCGAGATCACACCACTGCACTCCAACCTGAACAGTAGAGCAAGACTCTGTGTCAAAAATAAATAAGTAAATAATAAATGCTTCCTAAGTTACCTAAAGTACATTAAAGTAACCTGAGGCCTTTCCAAAACATCATTACGTCCCCAAAGATTCTGATTTAGAATGTTAAAATGGCTGAAGGCTCCTCTTCCCATTGGTGTGTTTTATGAGTTCCTTAGAAGATAGATACTGGTCCACAGATGAGTTTGAGGCCATGTGCTCTTCAGTTCTTTCATATTCAGGTCACTGGAGCTGACAGCCAGTCTCGGTAACCTCTGACTTGAGTTTTCATACTGTCCTTTGTTCTGACCTAGGCTTGACCAATTAACAATCAGAAACAAAAGGGAATATAGAGTCCAGACATTCAGGACATGGGAGAGTTTGAAATACAACTGTTTCACCAACCCAGGCAGTGGGATGGATTTTTTCCTTTTCAAATGCGTTGAACCACAAAATGTCCATAAAACCTTTCAGTTTGACCCAGTGGCTTAAAGAAGAGCATGGGTTAACAATGTAGCATTCCCATTCTAGCCTGGAAACATGATCCTAAAAGAAAGTTTTGGGTCATGTGTAGAGGAAGCAGAGAAATCTGCCAAGCACTAAGAGTAGAAAAAGATTTTACATGTCTTTACTGGTAGATTAGAAAAGTGCTAGTCATTTTTTGAGGAAATTATGCTGCCAAGAAAATCAGAAGCCAAGACTGAAAAAGGCTTTGATTATTCTATCTATAAAATAACTTTTGAATCTTCCATGAGCCAGAGACAAGTCATGACAGCCACTGAATGAGGGCATGTCCACTGAGTTCCATGTCCACTGTGGCCAAGGGGAAGAAACGGACAAGCAAGGGCCTCACAAGACATGGATCTGGGGCCCTGAAGAAGGAAGCCCTTCTTGCAAGTGAGATCGGATCCTCTGTTCCTATTCCAGGAAGAGACCCTTTTGATGTCTATCCAGTAGTGTATCAGAACTCCTACAAATCAGTCATTGCTGGGTGTCTCCCAGTCTCCCTTGTCCAAGGAGAATGTTTATTTTAAGCATCTTATTCCTAGTCCACCTTGTAAATGAGTGTATACATTGAGCAGATATATTGTTCATTTTTTAAAAGTACTGTCAATCTTGGAGGCTATAAAATGTATTTCCATAAGGTATCATTATCT